TTAACTTTCCCGGCCTTTAGCAATATCTAGCTTTACGCATTTTAATTTCTAACTAGAGGGCTGGGGCATGAAATTAAAGGCCCTGGGGGGCAGGGGGGCTTCCTCAACCCCTGTCCGAGCCCTCCTGCAGTCCCGGGGAACCCCTGAGGGGATTCCACCGACGGCTTAGGCCCTGCGGGGAGCAGGCCTAAGCCGTCAGTCGGACATCCTTAGCGCTGTCGTGGAGGCAGGAGAGGCTCCTGCCACCATCGCTGCACTCGCCAGCCATGAGCCCAGCTCAGGGCTCTGGCTGAGCAGCACTCCCCTTGTGGGAGCATACTGACCACCAGGGGGCAGCTCCTGAGTTGAGCATCTGCCCCCTAGTGGTCAGTGCACGTCATAGTGATGGGTCAGCTGGTCTACTATCTGCCCCCTGGTGGTCAGTGCACATCATAGTGAGTGGTTGAATGACCTTAGCATATCATTTGCATATTACTCCTTGATTGGTTGAATGGCTGACTGGATGGCCGGACACTTAGCATATTAGGCTTTTATTATATAGGATTGTCTGTCCCCCTTTCCCTTATCCCCACCAGACCATATACTTCATGAGGGCAGGAGCTTTTGTCTACTTCATGCTTTATCTCCAACACTTAGAAGAGCCCTTGACATATAGTAGGGATTTAATAATTCTTTATTGAATGAACTAGGGGCCTGGTGCACGAATTCGTGCATGGGTGGGGTCCAGCTGGCCCGCCCTGATGGGGGCCCATTGGGGGTGTGGCTGGCCGGGGGTAGGAACTGTAGGAGGGCTCCAGAGCATGTCCGGCCTGGCTTGCTCAGTCCCAATTGGCCGGACGCCAGCAGCAAGCTAACTTACCAGTCGGAGCATCTGCCCCCTGGTAGTCAGTGCACGTTATAGCGAGCAGTTGAGCATCCTTAGCATATCATTAGCATATTACGCTTTGATTGGTTGAATGGACAACTGGACATTTAGCATATTAGGCTTTTATATAGGATGGGTGGATGATTTCAGAGCTCAGATCCTGATCCAGCATCCTACATACTCTGTCAGTTCCCTTTCCACAGAACTTTAAGGAGCTACCTTAAAATTTTCTGAGATCTCAGACATTCAACAAGTGTTTTCATCTTGCCTCAGCTTTGTGCTCAGCATTGGGAAGACAGCAGAGAACAAAATAGTTTCCCTGCCCCCAAAGAGCTCACGGTCTTGGGTAGGGGGTTCAACTCATCAACTAACCACACAATATGAAATTACAGAGAAAGGTAGAAAGTGCTATAAGAGCACTTGACAGGAAATCTAATCTGGACCCTAGAAGTGAGGTTTGAAGTGATCTGAAGGAGTAGGCATTAACTCCATTAAATCTGGTGTGCGTGTGTGTGTGTAAGATGATTGGGACCTAAAGGCTGAGAGGGAGCAAGAGATCAGACCATGCAGATCCTGTAAGGAGTGTGTGTCCTTACC